GGTAGAAGCTGCGCTTATTAAATGCCGTGTTGATTGTATTCCCCTATCCAGTTGCACCCACATGTTTTAATGGTTTTCTTTCCTTCAGACTGTGTTCTAAAGCCTTGGTAATGCTGATGTCAGCCTAGCAGGCTTGTCGCTGCCTGAATCCTGTCTCCTAGCCAAACTCTTCAGTACAGGCGCTGGATTTGCTGTTGTGGTTGCAGAGAACCTCCCTCCATAATGAAAAGTCTCTGCAGCCAAAACAGCAAATTCTTTCACTGGTGCTTCCAGAAGTCTGGGATGGGCATGATCCAGTCTTTCCCTCACCTCACACATGTCTGGCTGTCTTCGCAGTCAGCTAGTACACCTAAATATTCACAGCTTTAAAATCTATTCCCTTTTCCAAAGAGAACTGGCAAGTCATTGAAACCCCAGATCCTGCTTGCGGTATTGATGTCAGACTGCTGCAAGAGAAGAGCTTTGCTTTTGATGGGATAGCGCTAAAATCTGGGCTGCAGGAGGAAAGGAAGGAGGGAGCGCATTGCCTTTTTAAGCTCTGAAGGAAAGACAGAAGGCACTCATAGCACAGGAGACTCCAAAATGTGCCTGAGCTCCCTTTCAGGCTCATCTCATTCGGTGATTTCTGGTCAATGTCACTGCCTTAGCATGGGATTTTGAGTCTCTTCCTCTGCATCACTCCTATTCCCTTGCCTCATCCTTTGAAGATGCAAAGGACAAATGTGATACTTCCTTCTGCTCATCTCAGTGAAAAACATTTTGGATTTGGATCACGGACATATACTGTCTTGATACTTGTTATCCAAATGGTGATCCAGCAGTTGCCAAGGGTTGATCTTTTCTCCCCTTTAGAAACTCGATATACTTTGGCTAAGTGACATCCCTGCTTTCGGATGTAATTGTGGCAATGCTAAATTTCCAAGGATTACCACTGCATGTGGTGGAATCTGGGAACCTCAGTAACAAGCTATGAAGTCAGGAAGAAAGCCAGAATACAAAGATCTTGGCAGCTCCCCCATGATGGAAGATCCTGCTGTACAAAATGCAGCACGAACCATTAATTTACTCTCATGGTACTCCCTCCTCAACACTGTCATATATTTCAGTATTCCTTGGCCTTCCCAAACTTCTTGGAGTCCCAGGAGCATCCCAGGGATGGGTAAGCCAACAGTACTGGGGATGGGCTGATTGACTCACTCTCAGCATGAAAGAGTGGAAGAAGAGGGATGTGTAAACACCATTGCCCATCTGCCCCCTTCCTCCCTCCTCCTCCTCACAGTCCAGGCTGTACCCCAGATCTGATGGAAGAATCAGGCACAGATCAAGAATTGAGCCTTTCCCCATCTCCCACTCCATGTTTGGTTTCCTCTCCAGCTATGCAGTTCAGCCAGCTGTGGAGTCCCTCGAGCTCAGCCTTCCTAATGTGGGCCATTGCCTGCTTGGGGTAGGCAGTGAAGGCGAGGACAGGATGGGGAGAGACCCCAGGATGGGAGCACGCTGTGGGATTGCATGATGAGGTGGTTGGGATAGAGCAGCAGGGGAAGAGGGATTTGTTTTCAAATTAGGGCTGAGCTGTGTTCGTAGAGCTGCATGATGAGGACTCAGGGTCTGGTGACATGGGGAGGACTGGGAGAGGAGTGCATCAGCAGAGATGTTGCAGGTGCTGGGGCTGAGGGATGGTGAACAGGGGATGGCCACAGCTTGGGGTCACGGGGCAGAGCTGTGTTAGGTGGCAAAGCCTGGTCTTCGGGGACCTGGACTCCGTTAAATCACTATCTACAGCATCCCACTGGCTCAGGCAGATCTCAGGAGCCCTGGCCTGCCTGCCACTGTGACAGCCAATGTTGCTCTGCCAGGCAATCCCAGATGTTTTGGGGATGCTGCGGGCACCAGGGGCCCGGACTTGTCTCCATTCGAGCACACCCTGCCAGCCACAGGCATTTGCAGCCGCTCTGACCCCAGCCTTGCAGAGGATGGATGCTTCGGTCCCGCGGGGCACACAGATTGCCTGCTGCCCTCCGCATGTACCAGTGCTGGCATGGTGCTGTGCTGAGCCGCACACGGTTGCAGCTGCTGCATCTCCCCCTCTGCTGCAGGGCTTAACATTGTCTTCCAAAGTCATCCGCATGGCCCAGCCAGGAGCCCGTTTGCTTTTCTCCTTGGGATGCCGTGTGTAGTGCAAGCAGACGGTTTCTGAGGTAGGGGAGACTGCCTGCTGTTGGAGCTGTGTTAAAATCTGCCATTGGGCCAGACGTTTGCTCTGAAGGGTTTGGCGAGTGCCCCGGGCAGGGGATGGTGTCGTCACTTTGGAGAGCAAAAGCTGTCGAGATGCAGTGAGCGTGGAGCCCTGGCCTCTTCCCCCTGCTAGCTCAGTGCTCCCGGGCTCCTCCAGCTGCACAGGAGCAGCCTGGCAGCTTTTTTCCCTTTTTTTTTTTCTCTTCCCCTTTTTTTCTGGAACCCTGTACAGCATGAGCATAGCGGGGATCCCAGGGGGTTTGCTGCTATCCATAGAAGACGCTTTGCTCTCTGCCAGATCTTGCACTGAGGAAAGGCTCGAGGAAAAACCATTTTGCAACGTTTCTGCTGGGTCTGTTGGCAAGTCATGCGAGGTACAGCAGTCCCTGGCCAGGGTTGTTCCGCTGCCTCAGCAGCGCCGAAAGGCGCAGCTCAGAGCGGTCAGAGCACAGATCTGACCTGCCTGACCTCTGCTCACTCCCTGCTTTGCTGCAGATTTGCTTGTTGTTCACCCTAAAGAGCCTCCTGCTGAGCCAGCCCACTCCTCCTGGGCCATGACCTGACCCTGCACCGGGTGCTGAAGCCTTTCCCTGGGATGGCGTTTCCACGCACCCCTGCGCAGCGCTGGCATGAGCAATTTGCATTTCTAGCAGCTTCAGGTCAGCCTGAACCACCCAGGGTTTGCTTATGTTCTTCGTAAGAAGGGTTCTGGTTGATACACGTGTTAATCTTGAAAACAAACGCCTCCACATTGCTTTTACTAAATATAGGGCAAGTATCTGCTGTGGTGCAGGGCAGTTGCTGACAGCACACAGCAGGGTCATGCTCTTAAATCTAACGGGAGTTTATGAGCCCCGGCCAGGAAAGGGACTTGAGTTTAATGCCTTCTGCTTGCAAATTCGAGCTGCAGTGAGTTGAGTTTTCAAGGTCGATCTCATTCCCTGTCATTTGCAGACAGCTGAGCCTGGAAATGTGAAACGGGGCTCCTCTGGGACGTGCATCTCAGCCCAGCGCTGTGTACGTTGGATCTTCCACTTAGCTCTCGTCAGCACAGATGGCATTTCACCCTCCTGTGGGGTAATTGATACAGGGGATTGAGGAAGAAGTCGTACCTTCTTGTTGAATCACATCTTGATCAATCCAGTGCTGCAGGAAGTGTCATTTCCCACAAACATGCAAGCGTACATGCACTGCTAATGAAATCTTGTGAGACCAGGCAGTCATTTACCCCTAATTACAGCTCCAGGAATGAATGTTTAGCTTAGACCCTGGTGACTTTGTGCTTTGGGGCAGTTTTCATTTAAGCAAAATAAAAGCACATGAAAATGAAGATGGGATTTGGATTTTTCCTTCTGGTTATTTTGGTTAAAAAGATGCCACCTGGGGCCTGTATAACAAATTTGGTTTTGTTTGGTGATGGTCAGTGAACGAAAAGATCCAGAGCCCCAAATTGTCATGCAAAAAGCCTCTGTGTTAGAAACCTTCATGTTGCCAAAAATGGTTTGTGAGAAATGCTTTTCCCTCCACCACATAAGTCTGTCTGAGATTTTTGGAAGGTCCCTGTAGGAGCAGAAACTTGGAGAAGAACTTCCCAAGCCAGGATCTCCCGAACAATGTGTTCTATCATCCCCTTCAGAAAAAACATCATCTTCCATTTTAAAACTCACAGTATCATTTCTTCTGTGGAAGCCAACTCCAGGGCTGCATAACCCCCATGATTAGAAACCTTCTTCTCATATGAAAACTGTCGTGGCGTCATCTGCCAATGGGGAGGGTCAGATACAAGAAAGAGAGGGTGGGTGAGAGGTGGGACAGCTGCTTGGATGCGTTACCGCAAGCGAGAGCCTGCGCCCCTGTCGTGGCTGGCTCCATGCATTTAGTTTGGGATATCCAGGCCTGTGCTGGAAACAGGTCTGTGGGGCTGAGGGATGGCAGCTGAAGCGGGTGCTTCATAGCCTGGAAGGTGGTTGCATCCCTACATAATTTACGAGCATGAGAACCTGAGCATCTGTCACCGACTGGGTGTCTGGCACCACATTTGTGGCTGGCCAGATCCAGCCTTGGGTTTGGTGCTGCTGCAAATAGACCTCTGAAATCAAACCAGCTGATCTGCATGGTGGGGAAGGGGCAAGGACTGCTTGGGTGGCTGTCTTCAACTTCAAACACTCGAGGAGATGTTGCTGGTTCAGAAGGGAAGAAAAAAAAAAAAAGCAAATAAGAACTTGAAATGACTTACCAGTCAGATGAAGCATCTGACCAATTTGTCTGTTAACGACCATGTCTCTGAGCCTGGACATGCAAACTCCAAGCCTGCGGGGACTCAGCACAGAGCTGCCGGTGTTGGATCTGCCCCTTATCTCTGCCAAGCACAGATGCTGTCTCCCCCCTCACCGGGCCGCGGCGATGCTGGTTGGGGTCCTGTTGCCTCCTGAGTCATTTCCTCACCAATGCAGCCTGCACACAGTGGCATTTCCCAAATGCACATGGATCAAACTGTTCCCGGTCGCTCTTGAAATTGTAACAAGCCATTATCTTCATTTATGGTCTTTTATTTGTTTAAAGGTTAGATCTAGACCTTTTGAACCCTAACTGCAGGTTTTGTTAAAAAATAAGAGGGAGGGACAAGCATTGCTTGAGCATCTTCTCCCAAACGGATTTGTCTCTTCTGGAGGGATGCTGCCTTGTCCCAACTTGGGCATCTCCAGAGAGGGTGAGGGAAGCAGCCCCTCCCAACCCCTCTGATTTTTCTTGCTCCTTTTCCAGCTGCACAAGATGGAGTTATGAGATCCACCTGGCAGGGGAAGGCCGGTCGCAGCCCACTCCAGGCCCTGTATGAGAGTGACCAGGTAAGGGGACAGGGAGAGGGAGATGGGGGGGTGAAGAGGGAGTTGGGTGCTGGGGGTTGACCCCTTCTTCCACCCCTCTGGTGTGCGGGGCACCGTGCTGTCTCCAGCCACCCCCAAGGTCCCCATGCCTGAACCTCTGGCTGTGTCCAAAAGAAAAGACCACATCACTTTGGGGAGTAACTGTTGATTAAAAAACTGCTTGTGGCCCTTGCTGGTACCTGGGCAAATGGTTTCATTACCAGTGGGCTGAGTGATAGCTACGCAAGCCCAGGAGTTTTCACATCTGAGGATTTCAAAGCCAACTCTGGGCCATCATAGCAGGGCAAGAGCATCATTGCTGCACTTTCTGAGCTGATGATTGATAGATGCTTCTATATTGGGTGCTATATATAAGTGTGTGTGTGTGTGTATATATATATATATAAAAAAAAAAGCTGGACCCAGCCATGAGGGGTCTATAATCCTGGGTCATCTCAGTCCTCTCCATCACCCTGAGCTGTGCTAGCTACACCTGCTGACAAAGGGACAGCCAGGCACAGTCTGGGCAGGGAAACGCTCCCCGCTGGGTGGGCTTAGTGGGTCCCTGTCCATGCAGCGGTCTGCTGCAGGACAAGCCATGGTCACTGCTTGAGGCAGGGAGCACTGGCCCTTGCCAGCCCCCAGTGCGTGCAGCCCAGCTGGCATCGATGACCCAGCATCAGGGAAGGTGTCCCACTTGCCCTTTAGCAGCTCAATGGGAGCGTGGGTGTCTGTGGTTGAAGCTGCAAAAGGTGTGTTTGTTTCCTTCCACTGCATTTTCCCCCTGGGTGGGCAGTTTTCCTCCCATGCAGCCAGACTTGTCTTTGCAGAGGGATCCTCACCCACAACTTCCCTGCAGGAAGTCCTGCAGGAAACCACCCTCCAAACGGTACAACAAGCTGCGCTGTGGCCACATGCCCCAGCCCCCAAATGTGCCCTGCATCTCCCCACATCCACGGGGCAGTCATCTTCTGCAACCCCCAAGAAGCAGAGGGCAATGCTGGTGGTCCCTGCAGCTGGCTGCCATCCCCACTGCCTCCCCACTGCCCATCGGCAGTGCCCGCTGCAGCCAGACCCAGATCTCCTTTCCATATGCGACGCTTTGTGTTACTGCCTAGGTTGATGCTTTTATGTCTATAAGCAGCCAAATTACATTTGCTCTGGGAAAAATGGCAAATGTGGACTTCCTTGGCCATGATGCCGGCAAACCCTAATGCTGCTGGAATGTCATGGTGTTATTTCCTTAAAAGTGATACTTAATTTCTCTGGTTTCTAAAGAGAAGGAAATGAAGGGAGCAATTTTGCTCTGAAATAACTGCAAGACAAGCACTTATTCCAGTGGGCGGCTGTTGAAAAGTAGTCACATTTATTTGTTGCCATGCCTGCAGACAGTGTCTGTCTGTCTGTCTGTCTCTCTGGTCCAATAGTTTTGAATTATGCAAGTGCAGGGAAAAACACCTGAAAAAAAAATCACATTATTAAAATGCCTCTTTTTTTTTTTAAGCACTTGCAAAAAGGGTTTCCAATTTTAAAAGGTGATGGGGAGCCTCCAGGCAAAAGAAATTTCTGCTGAAAAGTTCGACTCTGCTGCAAGGAGGTGCACCACAAGAATGCCTCTTCAGCTATGATTATCACCTCCCTAGGTGCTATATCGGCTTCATATCCAAGTAGCCAACAATGTCAAAGTCATCTCTTGATAGCAGTTAGAGTCTGTTGACTTGTATTTCCTCCATCTGAGCATTTTCCCTTATCATCTCCCTCTTCAAAAGAGCAGGGATGGGATGCTTTCTCCTTCCCCTGTCTCAGGTTACTGTCTATGCAGGTTCCTGGACAAAGTGGTCACTAAGGTGACCTGGACAAGGTTATTTCTTTTGTGGAAATGAGATCCAAAAGGGTCTGAGTGTGGTTTATCCCTTGCAGGAGGAGCTTTTTGCCCAGATGTTAGTGCCCCTCTGAAGGTGACAGGTCTGCTGGATCATCCACGAGATGGGCACTTTTTCTGAGGATCCCAACTCCTGGCAGAAGCTTTACAAAGCCCCATCTCCACAGCGCTGCCTCTCCCAGGCGGTGGTGCCTCCCAAAAACCCTTATGGGCCCCCAGGGAGAGGTGAGGGTGCACTTGAAGCTTGGCAAAGGGTGTCCTTTGGCATGCATAAGTGATGACAGCTGTCAGGAGCAAGGATGTAGGGACCAAGCAGGTGGCCTGCCCTTGCCCTTCATCTTGAGGTTGCCACATCTCTGCAGGCTGCAGAGACATTTGCCGTGGTGCCCTCTGATGCTGGCAGGACTGTCTCCACAACCCTGAAGTGGAAGCCACTGTTGTCTTGCGACATGGGGGTCATTGCATTGCGCTACAGCAACAGCTCCGTGAGATCTGCCCTGGGTTAGCAAATGGGTGGTGAAGCCGTTAGTGGTTGTGGCCCGGACAAGGCTGTTGGAGGTTCCCAGCGATGACCTCAGGGCTGACCGCGAAAGCTCCCAACCCTTGTGAGCAAAACGGGGAGGGAGTGGGCAGGAGGAGGAGGCGACCTTCCCCTTCTGAGTTCCTGGAAATGGTTTCCTTCCCCAGATGTTTTAATGACATTTTGGGATTTCTGACAGGAAAGGTCACGTCCCCAAATCTGGAGGGGGTGCTCAGCTCAGGCGGGGGTCGGGGGGCTCTGGGCTCCTGGGAAGCCAATGCAGCGGCTGCCAGGCCTTGATGCAAGGATCAAAAGGGCTAAAGAAAAAGGACCTCCCTGCGGACAAAGGAGACTGTGACCAGAGCTGAGGCATCAGACTGGCCTGTGTGGAAAAATGTCCCTCAGGAGAAGAAACCCAAAGACCTTGGGAAGGGCCACCCCACCACCTCCAGCAGCGCCTCACTCCTCTCCATCGTGCCCTGCCACCCCACCTCTCCTTCAGCTCCCTGTCTGCTCCCCAGGGTTCGACCGTCGGCGTTAAAGACCATTTTCCTCCACCCGTCTCCCTTTACCCTTCCTTGGCAGCACTCCTGCGCCATTTTCATCGTACATGTCTGCACTCGCGTACCACGTTTCTGCCTCTGGCTGCAGTGTTTGCAGTGAGCCCATGGGTGTAGGCATCAGCACAAAGCAGCAATGCCCCATTGCAGCCGGGAGGTGTGCGGGGCCCTGCACCAGCAAACGGGCTGCACTCTTTGCCCCTGGAGGGTCCAGGAGTGGGGACAGTTGTGGGCCAAGTGTTGTGTGTAGGCCACAATCAGCTTGGGCAAGTTGGTGACCATCTCCTTTTTTTTTTCTCCCCAGTTTGAGCAGTCTTCACTGCAGGTGGTTCACCAGCAGAGACGAGAGCTGTTGAGCAATGTCTGCAACCGTTACACCCGCAAGCGGCGTCTCCTGCGGCCGGATGACTTGCGGCACTTGGTGGTGGATGACACGCATGGGTTGCTCTACTGCTACGTGCCCAAAGTGGCCTGCACTAACTGGAAGCGGGTGATGATGGTCCTGACGGGGCAAGGCAAGTATCGGGACCCACTAGAAATCCCCGCCAATGAGGCCCACGTCTCATCCAACCTGCGCACCCTCTCTGAGTACAGCATCCCCGAGATCAACCACCGCCTGCGCAGCTACCTCAAGTTCATCTTTGTGCGGGAACCCTTTGAGCGCCTGGTCTCAGCATACCGCAACAAGTTCACCCGCAGCTACAACACAGCCTTCCACAAGCGCTACGGGACCAAGATCATCCGGCGGCACCGGCAGGAGCCCAGCGACAAGGCCCTGGAGCGTGGGGATGACGTGCGCTTTGAGGAGTTCGTCTACTACCTGCTGGATCCACGGACGCAGCGGGAGGAGCCCTTCAATGAGCACTGGGAGCGGGTGCACTCGCTCTGTCACCCCTGCATTGTCCACTACGACGTGGTGGGCAAGTACGAGACCTTGGCCGAAGATGCCAACTACATCCTCCAGCTGGTTGGGGCCGACACGAGCGTCAAGTTCCCATCTTCATCCAAGACCACCAGGACAACGGACGACATGACGGCCCAGTTCTTCCAGGACATTAGCCCTTTCTACCAAAGGAGACTCTTTAATTTATATAAAATGGACTACTTGCTCTTCAATTACTCCATCCCCTCATACCTCCGCATCCGATGAGGCAGGGGCTGGGGGGAGAGGTGAGGGAGAGCTGGGTAACTCTCATCTTGCCACAATTCTTCTCCTCCCACCCTGTGCTCATCTCTTGGTTGACTTCTCTCTTGTGCCCTCTCTGTTATGGTCTGCTCCACATCTGATGCATGGTCTGGAGGAAGGACACCTCTCAAAAGACTGGGGCTGGAGCTTTTCCTTCCCTTTCCCTCCTATCCATCAACATCTACAAGGGATGGTGGTGGGACTGGACACTGCTGGGTAGGAGGGCTTGCCTTGGCTGGGGACTTTCTTTTAACTAAGAGACTCGTCTGTAGATCCAAGACTTGGGAAGGCTCCTTTTTCGGGCAGGATCCCTTCAGGTCTTTCTCCTCCTTACTGGGCTGTTGGGGGCGGCCGTGGTGTCTTGGAGGGCAGGGTGGAGTGTGTCAGAGACTTTCATAGAACCAGAAATAAAGCAATAATTTAATGTAAGTTTTTCCTTTCGTTTAAAATTGCTCCCACCTTTTCTTTTCGCCTCGTTCTCCTCCGTCTTCCCCCAGCTTCCCGCGCCATCCCCCATTGCTGGGGAAGGCAGTGGTGTCTTACTGTGACCATGCATTTCTCCCCACTGGGCTGGCAGGACCCAGCTTGCAGCACTGGCTTCTCATTCCCTGCCACCATGTGCTGCTCCCGTGCGCAGCCAGTGCCTCCCGCATGGGGTGGCCGCATTGCATTGGGGGATGGAGAAAGGTGCTGGGGCATGTTTGAGGAGCACTGTGCTGGGATGTGGGAGATGGCTATGGTAAGGAAAAGGTGATGCTGGACTGGGAAGGCCAGAGAAGAAAAGTGTGCACACGCACGCGTGCATGTATGTGTGTATGAGAAAAAATTGAGAATTAAAGTGGGGACAGAGACACCTAGAGGAAAATTCCCCTTTGGCTGGCTGGCTTTGGACAATTCATTCCTTGAAGCAGAAATGTGGAGGAGGGGGCGAAACACAAAAGAAAATGACAAACTTGGTCCTAGGATTTTAAATTAAAACCAGTCCAAGGAGCTGTATTTCTTTAAAACCGTATTTTCAGTCTTTCCTTTTTTCTGTTCGGCTTTGGCTTCGTGGCTGCCTTTGTAAATAAACACGCTGGTAATAGATGCTGTAGAGTGTGTCTGCTGGCTCGGCTGCAAACACTTGACTTATTAGTGCAATACAATGGGAGGTTTTATAAAACCCCAGTGCTCTCAGGCTCTTTGAAAAAACAGTGTTTTCATCTAACAACTTTTGGCTATTCTCTCTTAACCTTTTTCCTCTCTGCCTCTGATCGGCAGCTATATGCTGACACTCCCTCCTTGGTTGCTCCATTTGGAGATAGGGTTTAGTAAAGCAATAAAAAAGAAAAATAAATAAAATTGCCGGTGATCCCGGCAGTCTGACTGATTCTCCCAATCTGGACTGGCGATCTCGCGGAAATGGTCTTTCTCGTGCTATCTCAGCATCTCCCCATCTAGCTGAAACTCAAAAGCACAAAACCAGATTAAATGATGTAACAAATTTCATCTGCAGCATTCAGGCTTGGCGTGCATTCCTCCTGCTTTCTCAGGAGTCTCGAGTTCCCTGCTTAGCACTGCCTCTGCTTGGAAAAATCATTGTTCAAGTCACCACAAGCTCTTTTCATCACTTTTGGTCATGAATCATAATTTGGGGTCACAGTCAGAGTCACAAACGGATGGATTTTTGGATGGATTTTTTTTTTTTTTTCCTTTTCCTAAATACTGTTCCCTGAAGGTAGCTCTTAAAAGCTGGTGGCACAGCAAGTGGCAAGGACAGCTACACAGACTCTCTCCCCGTAGTGCTGTCTGTGGGTGTTTAGGCAACATCTGGCCGGCTGGGAGCCCCTTTGGGCTCTCTTTGGTGTGAAAGCGAGGGACCGGCGTGCTCTGGGCTTTGTCTTTTGGCCAGCTGGTTTCTAACCTTTCCTGCAACGGTGGCGATTTGGAGCCGGTCCCGGCTGTGACGGCTGTGTGATCAGCTGCCCGTCCCCTGGCATCCCCACCAGACCTGACCCACGGCCCCAAACAGCCGCAAAGCCACACGAGGATGGAGCGAACGCAGCCCTCCAGCCTCAGCCATGGTCTGCTACGGGCAATACCCTGCTGAGATTTGGTCTGCAACAGGGTGCCTTTTGGGTCACGTAGGACCTTTGGAAATACCCACCTTCGGGCTTTTTCTGACAAAAACAACCAACAGCCACAATCCAACCCATTTAGGTCATACCCTTGGCTTCCCCCCCTCCCGCCTAATACCGCTTTCCAAAGCAAAACCTGCCCATGCAAACAGAAAATGGCCACTTTGTATTTCTGAAGCAACCGCCTTCAGCCCGGGCCGGAGCTTTCCGGGCCTGGAAACCCTTTGCCCGTGCCAAAGCCGAGAGCAGCCGGGGCGGGCGGTGCGGCGCCCGAGCCCTCCCCGCAACGCCCCGAACAACGCTGCAGCGCCGGAGCAAAACGGAGTTACGAGGACACCGTGTGACCGGTGATCCCAACTACAAGCGGTTTAATTTGCTGCAAGACATGGGCTGCTGGGAACCGTTTCTCTCCAGGGCTTCTAGTTTGTTTTGGGGTCGTGTCATGTCCCCCCCGTCGTCGTCCCCCGCTCCTAGCTGTTTCGCTGCATCCCTTTTTTTCTTGCCAGAGGAGAAAATATCAAGGTAATCTAGGCGACCTCTAAAGTTGAATTGGATTTGGTTTTCTCCTCTACCCAAGACTGGGAATGTGGTAGTGCCTGATGTGCAACAAAGGCTTGAAAAGCAAGGAGCTTCCCAGGGAGTGCCCCCCAGGAGGACGGAGCAGGGCGTCATCCCCTCGGCCCTCGCTGAGCACCCCGTTGTGAGTGGGGAGTGTTTCCAGGAGGATGATGGTGGTCCAGTGATGAAGGGCATGCATGCACCACAGGGATCCCGAATGGGACCGAAACACAGCCCTGCTTCTTAGTGGCAATGGGGCTTTGGTGCAGCTGCCCTGCGGGGCCACATACCATGTACTGCCCTGCGTTTTGGCCAAGGTTTGATGACGAGTGGAAGTGAAGACTCTTCCTGGGCAGCCCTGTGACCAACGAGGTGAAGACAGGAGCAACCATCCCACCAGGAATACGCACAGCTGCTGTCACCTGGAAGAAAGTGCAAAGGGATAACCGCAACGGCAGCCAGGGCATTTCTACCTGTGCATGGATGACTTCCGGTGTTCTTAAATACAAGCCTTACACTGCCAAAGAAAACCCCCAACTTGGTATTTCTGCAGGGAAATAAACCTCCCCTGCAGGGCTGGTGCCCGGGGATAAGTGTGGCCATTACCCGCCATGGCCCCGCACTGAGCTCCCGCACGCGGGGAGCACTGGGAGCAGCTAGCTGGGGGACAAGGAGGGGACACCCCATGGCAAAGCTAGAGCTGCTGGTGGCTGCCAAAGCAGCCAGGGGAGACCACTGGGGTGGCCCCGCTGCC